GCCAGGGAGCTGACCCACATATGGTATAGCATACCTTGCCTGTCTCACCCATTGCTCCCCTCAGCAGTGTATTTCAGTATGCCTGCTTGTTCTGTTCTCTGCTGTCTCTGGTAAATCCTCTCATCCATAATCCCCACCCTCCCCACCCCCACACTTCTGGCCTGTACTCCAAATCTTGTATATATAAATAAATAAATCTTAAAAAAAAAAAGAACCTTGCATAAAGGATTAATGTTTGTTGACTAGACAATGCAGTTCTTCCCTATGTTACCTGTTCTTTTGTTGTTGTTGTTTTTATTTATTTTTGCACAGAAGAGCTGGTGTGCAGCAGGCGTCCCTGGTGATTTAGGGGTTAAGTCTCAAGACTGCTATCACACTATTGCCTATGCCACCTGAGTTCTGTCCCCAGCAGGGGAGCTAACCCTCATATAGAAAAGCAGACCTCTCCAGTCTAGCCCACTGCTCTCCTTAGCAGTGTATTCCACTAGATCTGTCTGTTCTACTCCCCACTTTGTCTCTGACTCCTCTCATCCAACCCTCCACCTCTGTCCTACACCCCAGTTCATGTATACATAAATAAAAACAGATCTTAAAAAAAAGAGTATGTTAAAAAAAAACATTTTGGTCAAACACTACATTAAAGATAAATGATAAATATTTATCATTTACAAATAAATGGTCTAATTCTGACAAGGAAAAGCAATCTAAAGTGTTCATGTTATTTACTTTACTGACTTATTTCTAACTCTCATAAGACACTTACTGGGCCTCCCTGTTGGTACAGGGGTTAAAGTCTTACTAGATATGCCTGTTTGCTCCCCATTCTGTCTCTGGTGCACCTCCAGCCTATACCCCCTGCACCTCCAACCTATACCCCAGTTCTTACATGCATAAATACATCTTTAAAAATAATTATACACTTACTCTTGTATTCTAATTGTCTGAGCTGTCATCTCACAAACCGAAAAAAAAAAAAAACAGAAACTAATCTATAATACTCAAAATAATTCTTCATTGCTTCTTCAAAGATTAGACCATTTAACTAGAAGGGGAAAACTGTATGGTAATATGAGCGTCTCTTCAGTATGTGTAAGGGCTACACAAAGTTATTAAAATTCATGAATTCCTAGATACTAGATACTCAAATTTAATTTTTTTTCATGCATCAATTAAAACTGAACAGAATTTTCCCTTTGGTGGACAGGAAGTGTGTGTGTGTGCACGTGCACATGCAATTTACAAATGTGGCTTCATGGAATAACAATCTAACTGAAACCAAATAACTTATCTAGCCTAATTTAAGTTACCACTAATTCTTTATCTATACCTTACCAACAATTCTCTGCCAAATTTATGTAAAATAAAATAACTTCTATTACCAAGTAATTTTTCTTTTTGCCAGGAGGAAAAAGAAACATGACAAAAGTGAAAATATAATCTAACTTACTAACACATTCGATACTGGGTGAGCTAAGAACTTTCCACTAAATAACATTATCACCTTTAAAATAAAGAGGAGGCCAAAAAATGTACAGATCCTGAAAGGGATTTTCAATAATTACTTACAACCTAAAATAAAAAATGTTTGGCATTGAATATAAGATCAAGATAGGTTAGCTAGCACAAAAAGTTAAAAAGAAATCTGAGAATTAGGGCCTTTCTGGGTGGCATAACAGGTTAAAGCACAGCATTATGAAGCTACGGCAGCATGAGTTTGATCCCCAGCCAAGGAGGTAGCCCACATGGTGTGGCAGACCTCTCCTGATCTGCCCACTGCTCCCCTCAGCAATGTATTTCAGTCCATCTGCCTGTTCTGCTCCCCATTCTGTCACTGGTGAATCCTTTCATCCCATGAACTCTCGCCTGTACCCTAGTTCTGTATGCATAAATAAATAAATCTTAAAAAAAAAAAAAAAGATATGAACCTTGCCCTCTAAAACCAATTGCTAGTTGGGAAAATAAGTCAAAAAGATAAAACTAATACTCAAAATCAATTAAGGATTAAATGTCAAAATAAGTGGTATGTTCAATTATAAAATTCATCAATTCACATTGACTTCATTCTGTCCCTTGTTATAGTTAGAATTTACCCATCAAAGATCAACATTCAATTTCTTCTCCTGACACTAAGAAAGTTGGCTTTTAATAAAGGAAAGCATCCGTGTATGGAATAAATCTTTTTCTCCCGTTTCATACACATACAAACACCACACATGCCAAGATACTTCTGTAGAAACCAAAGTTACTCATTTTTATGCAAAGATTTAATTTAAAACATGGTTCTGCTTAAATGGCAAGAGAAGTTCCCCTCTTAACTGTCCTCCTAATCACATATGATAGACGAAGAAGATCTGAAGTTTTCATTCCCCAGCAACAGTATTATATGCCTCTGTATATTATTTGCCTGGTAGGCTCACTATGGGCAAAGTGTACTTCATTTACTACCTCTTGTCTTTGGGCTTGACCAGAATAAAACAAAAGTAATAAACCAAAATAAGACTTAAGTAGTGAATACCAGAAGGGAAAGGAAGCAGGTAAATTGAGACAAAGGTATGGTGAAGTTCCTCTTATATGATAATATATGGACATATAGTAATATATATAATACGATGATACACACCTGAAACATAATGCAATGTTACTTCAATTAAAATTTTTTTTAAAAATTAAGTAATCCCAGAACTGGATATAGAGTAAATATAAAAAAGGAATTGAAAGAAATAGAGAATATATCTATGTCCCCAAAGAGCCATGTAACCTCAGTCTTTCAATCTTTTTTTCCAATTCAGCTGCATTATTTGCACCTGTTTAGTTACATCACTGCATCTATGTATCCCAAATCCATACAGGCCCCTCTCCAATGATCTTGCACTTAATAAAACTGCACCAGCCACTCCAATTCTAGGCAAAGCAAAGTCATACCACTTAGCACCATGATATTTATATAACCAATGCTGAACCTAGAGTCTGTCAGGTGTCTCTGCTTCTTTTCAAATGCTGATCTGGTGAAGACACTATCTCATGTTCCCAATTAGCACAAGAAGTTGTTATTGTAATCATTAATGTGGTAGGTAAGGGTGCACGCTATAATCCTGGCTCCACAATTACTGCGTGGTAAGTTATTTCACTCTATGAACTTCATTGCCCTTTCTGAAAACCTGGGAGCACAGAATTGCCATTTAAGTAGCATAAGAAAATACAAGTAAAGCTAATAGAAAGTCTATTGGCATATAGCAACCACTCAAAAAATACTATCTATTATTGTTGTTGTTAAAACTCTGAAATCCAGATTCTCAATTTTGGCCTCTGGTCCTAAGTGATACTGAACAGAAAAAAGGCAGTTTTTAAGCAGTGATTCTTTTAAACCATCCCTTTTAAAAGATTTTATTCTAATGTTTATTTACCACATAGAAATTAAGTTTATTTTTAATGCAATATTTTTTTTCTCTTTTATAGGCTCAAAAAACAAAATGATATGCCTATCACTATTAATAGGAATCTACATTCTAGGAGGTCAAGAATAACAAAGACCATTGAAAAGCCTAGGCCCAGAGATTCCTGCTCCAAGAATGACTGCCTAAGCTTGAGCCTTTTACTCTCTTCATATTTTATGGCAACCACATGGCTTACAGCTAACAAATTTATATAGCTAACACAATATAAAGAAACTTAGAGAAAAATTATTTCTCTAAGAAACTGTGATGATTATGAATGTTAAAATATCAGTTACAAATACACTCAATTCAGAAGCTGAAATTATGTTAACAAAACTACATACATATATCATAAAATAACAGACATTAACCTAAAATATCAAAAGTACAAAAGAATTTCAGATTGTCTTTCAGTACCCGTCCCAGTGTAGACTTTTAAGATCGAAATAAGGAGCAACCTCTGTAATTAACATAGCAATGAGAAATTAATTGAATATGAAAATTACAGACTTAAAAATAAAAAGGTAACTAGAAAGCTATCATGTTGTCCTTACTCATTTTTAAAGGCATAATGTATTTGGCCATCCAAAACCAAATTTAAGAATTAAATATACAATTCATTGCAAAAAAAAATTTTTTTAAGCAAATCACCAAAAGACTGCTTGAAAAGTGCTTGCAAAAAAACACCTTTTTATCAAAGGTTCTGACAACCAAAACGAAAATATCTGAAGCAACAGTGTACTATTTCCCTTCAAGCCTCAGTAAAATGTCAAAGAATTTTCAGGACTCAAACCTCCAGAAGTCTGAAGTGAGGTCAAAGTTGTCTCAATGACAGGAAAGCCAATAGATGTCAAGCGACTAAATAAAAAAGTTATGGAAAATACTTTCAAGTCCAACAGCAATTCCAAAACATAAATAAAATACGACTGTCCAGACTGAAAAGATGGAAACATAATTACTAAAAACACTTTAGAGCCAAATCACATCAATGGCAATAATAAGCAGTATTCTACAATGTATCAAAGAAGCTCACAGTTCAGGCTTCCTCAACATTTATCCAACTCATTCGGGAACATTTGTGAATAATGAAAGTAACATGGATCCCCAAAGAATGATCTAAATCTGAAAATAAGGTTCAAGTGTGTGTTCTACAGTCGATGTTTTCACGACAAGCCAAATCCGCTTCATTATCTTAAAAGAAATCAACAGCTTTGTTTTCAAAGATCTCATAATAGACACTGTTCACTGGTGATTAAAACATTATTTTTAATCCTTGCATTACCTCACAGCTAAAAATGTCAAGATACCACACCCAATATGTCTTTCCCCCAGCCCGTGGGGGGCGGGGGTGGGGAATATGGGAGTGGGGATTTGAAACTACACAAAACACGAAAGGTGAATTCCTGGAAGGATTGGGAGAGGCGCGCAGGTACCCCGCGGCGGTGCCGGTCCGGGGGACCCCGCCGCTCCGAGAAGGGCGAGCGCAGGCAGGCCTCGGCCTCTGCGGGCTCCCTCCCTCGCCAACCGCAGGGGAAGTGGCCCGGACGCGCCACCGGGGTTACTCACCGGCCGCAGTGCTGACCAGCAGGACAGCCCACAAGAGCGAGGGCAGCCTCCGGGGCCGCTGCAGCGGAGAAGTCATCCCTGGGCAGGACAAGCAGCAGGAAGGCAGAGAAAAGAAACACGGAAAGTAAACACGGACGGAGAAATAGGGCCGGGAGGCTCGTCTCCTCTCTGGTCTGACTCGGCCGGCCCGTATTACAATGCAGTTTGAAAGGACAAATGGCAGATGCGAGGACCGAGCTGCAGAGCATTCATTCCGCTGCAGAAATCCCCTTCATTTCCCTCCCTCGCGTCTGGGGGGGTTCACTCGCCTAGGACGGGGTGCCTCGGCGCCCCAAACTGAAGACATGTCCGTGGGAAGAGGCAGGAAGACAAGAAAGACCGCAGTTATTTCCCTCGTAGTTTCACAATATCAAAAAAATATCCAGGTCTGGGAGAAAACATATCCAGGGTGCCGCGGGTGCAGAGCAGGGATTCGACGGCGACGGGGGTGGGGACGAGGATCAGGGCAAGTTCCCGACAGCCGGGGAGGGCGAAGCCGGGCGGGCGGCGGCGGCGCCCGGCGGCCCGAGTCGCATCGCCAGCGGCCCCGGGAGGGCACAA